GGTGCACTTGCATTCCCTGGAGGTGCCTCCATGCGTTCCCTGCTCCGTTTAACCTGCCCTGAATGACAGGAACTGGAACCTCCCGCAGTGCACCATGTTGGCAAGGATTCTGAGAGTAGTCAGCACTCTGGAGCTATTAAAACAAATGCTCTAATCCTGACCATGATCGCCTGCCAACCAACAAGGCACAACACGAATGACTTCATCAGACAAAGCGCACTGCAGCTTCATGCAGCTCAGGACTAAAACATCTGCAACTGAATCGCAGGTGCATCATCTAGGAGTGTCTTCAGGAAGGAGGGACCAGCCTTCAGGGTGTGGGGAGAAAAGTCGCTTCCCTGAAGTGTCCTTCCAGCCACCAAGAGATTTAGGGCAAGAGGCAGTTCTGCCAGCCGAGAGGAGCAGAAGCAGCTTCTGAGCAAACACACGTGTTGGTACTTTGTCCTCAAGTGTTTGCTGGATGCCGTTTAAAAGGGGGAAGGGGGGAGGATGCTCTGCCTGAGGAGCTCATGGTCAGAGGCTCTGGAAACCATCACAGCACAGCATGAGGAGGATCTCGGAACTGGGAACTGCCCTCTCAATACCCTGCTCATGTCGGGAAGTCCATTTGCCCAACGTGGCCCTGCCCTTCCCGAATGGAAACCCTCCACACCTCCACCAAAGAGATGAACTCTCAGCTCATTCCGTAGCTCATCCTTCACTGGGAATGTGATGCCAGGGCTGCTCTGAGACTGTGAGGAGCAGACTGAGCATGAGATTTTACCAAGAGTGAATGTGGGCTAATGGCACCAGGTCTCCAATGGCACTGCAGAGCTGTCTCTGGACATGCTGCCGTAGCCTAATTCCGCCGGTTCTGTCACCGCATCCAGACACAGCTCTGCCACATGACTTCCAGAGCTTCCTCTCCTATCTACTACTTTTCCTGCTGCTCAACTCAGCTGCAGCCTGACCAGCCTGGCCAGTGCCCCAATGGGACAGGAACCAGCAAGAGACACCTGAGAAACATGGCTGTTGAGACGCAGACCAGCACGGGAAGGGCAGGAGCTGGTGAGGCCAGCCGCACCCAGGAACTCTGTGCAGGCAGGACGGATCCCTTCCTCATCCACCTCACAGACCTCCAGCCAGGCCCAGGGTGGACTTGCTGGAGAACACAGAGCACCCTTGCTGGGGTTGCTCAAGAGCAGACCAGCAGGGGTCAAAGGTTCCTACCCCGGGCCAGGTCTACCGTCCTGAACACCTCCCACCTCTGTCTCTGCCTGCCCTAACCCCAGGCCCCTAGGCCTGTGAGAACAGCGCTCCGCTCATTCTTCAGAGCCTGCCCCTGCCCCTCCGTCCCTGGGGATCTAAGCGTGCTCCCAGAGGGAGGGCAGCATCCCACAGAAAAGGCAAAACAGGCGTGACCTGGATCATCTGGGCCAAAATAGCCGCTTCTGCTTAACTCAACTAAGAGCTCACACTGAGCAGCCACAGCTGCCCACTCTCCTCCCAGCATAAATTCAGCCCCTGGGCATTTGCCACTTCCTGCCTGAGGAGAAACAGCTTCTTTAAATTATACCCCAGGGGCCTGAATCCCAGATCCATGAAGATGTGGCCGACAGGCTGCTTTGCTACAGCCCGGCTTATCGATCCCAGGAGAGCTGTCACTTGGATGTGGTTTGAGTCACAGCCCCTCCTCCTCTCAGTGGCTGGCACTTTAACCCTGCGGACAGGGCTGAGGGGGGTCTGAAGTCTGACAAGACCTGGAGGACATTCTCTTAGTGAGAAGATGAGGTTGCCCCCAGGCACACTATCTTCCACCATTTGGCCCCAAGAACCTTCCTCTCTTCCCAGCCCTGCCTGCCTGGCCATCCCAGGCACTTGATTGCAGAGTGCAAGGAAGGGTGGGGGAAAGTTGGGCGTGAAGAGTAGGTCCTGACCAGGTGCCCTGGCCTGAGGGAAACAGATAACACCGAAAGACAGCTGTGCCCTAGCGGCCGGGCCACAGCAGCAGTGCTGAGAGACTTTTGGGGCTGCCTGGGGTGAGGAGCCGGGAGCCAGACAGGGCGGCAGGCCCACACTGCAGGTTGGCACAGAGTAGGGGGCAGGGGATGACAGATGCTGGTCCTGCCCCGTCCTGCTGCAGTGGCCTGGCCCCATTCTCTGGGAGCCAGGCCCGGCAAGGGGAGGCTATGGGTGCAAGACTGGCCGGCATGGGGGAGGGGGTGGCCAGAGCTGGGACCTGCAGGCTTGGGGGAGAGGGGGTGGAGGAGCGCACAGGGAAAGAGCTGTTCTGGTGAGGCTGACGGTGGACCTTGGTGACAGGAGCTACAGAGACTGATGGGGTGTCTGGGTCCCCGTGGCAGGCTGAGGCCCTTTCCCTCACAGACCCCTACAGGTTTGCTTGGAGCTCTGCCTGGACCGCATCCTCCTGGCCCCCACTGGCCCAGGGTTGCAGGAAGCTAGAAGCACCAAACCCCACATGAGACCTTCCTTCCCTTAGGTAACAGAGACTCAAGAATCATCCTGTGACCTCAGGGTCCCCAGAGGAACTCACTGGTCCCTAACCAGATGGCACTGGAAAGAAAGTCCTGCCATTCCTAACGTCATGCGGCATCCATGCGAGAGCCCTGCTGGTCCTGGGCCTCTTCTCGGGGGGTCCCACTGGGAAGACATCTTCCTGACCCCAGCATATACTTGGAACTTACTGACAGGACAGAGGCAGCCATGAGCTGGGAGGGGCTGCTGAGCCCCAGCAGGCCTGGGGCCAGAGAAGCCCAGAGACAAGGTCAGCGGCCATGGTTGGTCAGCAGGTCCTGCACCCATACCTTCCCTGTCTTGGGCCCTGAGTGGCCACAGGTCTGGACCTTGATCACTCAGTGGACGAGGCCCAGCCACCTGGAGCAGAAGAGAAGGCCCCGGGGCATGTGTCCTCTATCACTCCCTCGACTGCTCAAACGGCAGAGTGCAGCCACACTCCAGTCACACCCGAGGAGGGGCCGCAGCCTCCTTTCGCCCGCTGGAGCGTGGCTGCCGTCGCTGGCCATGCTTCTGTCTGTTTCTAACGCCTCTCTTGCTCCATCTCTTCGTTGGGGTCTTCTTTGTCTCGGTTCCTCTCTGTCTTCCTGTCTCTGTGTCTGCCTTGGTCTCTGCTTTCCTTGGCTCTCTTTGTGCCTCAAACTCTTTCTCTCTCATTCTGTTTCTGTCTCTCTCCCTCTTCAAGCTGCCTTTGTTTCCTGCCATCTCCAGTGCGTCTGAAGTGAATTTCTCTTCTTCTGGGCTATTCATGTCTACCCTGTCTCCCTGACTGTCTCGCTGTCTCTCTCTTCCGTTCTGCTTTCTCCGTATCTGGGGCCTGGCCACCCTGTCTCTCAGGGTGTTTGTCAACCTCTGGAGCTTGCTTCCTCCCTCCGTCTCAGTCTCTGTCTAGCTCCTTCCCAGCCACACACCCTAAGACAAGAAACTGATGCCCACGATGGAGAGGAGGAGCTTGGAGCTCAAGGTCACGGGGACAGGAGTGGGGGCTCACACACACCAGCCCCACTGGGCAGCACGGGACCCACGTTCCTGTCAAGAGCAAATGCGAGGTGGACAGGGCAACAGTGCTCAGAGGCCCAGTGTGTGGCTATCGCCTGCAGGCCTGCCGCTGGCCACCCCCTGTGGCTCCCACGGCCCTTCATGAAGCCCGTCCCAAAGCTACTGCAGGAAAAACTTTGGGCTGACATGGAACAAAGAGAGAATCCAAGCTGGCAATTACCCGGCTAATTTCAGCTATGTAGACAGCCAAATCAGATACTTCAGTTTCCTTAAAAGCCCACCTCAGGGCCTGAATTAGCCACTTAATTAATTATCTGCAGCAGCCTGGGACTTGCCGGGTGCAACGCGGGTTCTTCCCGATGCAGGCTGCCGGCGGGTCCCTGAATCACGTCCCGGTGACGTAATCCTTATAGTTAGACACCACCTGCACCCACCCTTGGCCGTGGACTCTCAGGGACACACCCTGGGTGCACCTTCCCTCTCATTGGAGTGGAGGAACAGACGTCTTCTGGCAGACACCCAGAAGTGTCTCCCCAGCCCCCCTCCACCCTGTCACTGTCACTGTGGTCCCAATCAGTGTTCTCTGTGTGGATCGCTCCCTCCCCTCCCCTATCCGCCCCGCCCCCATGGCAGCAGGGCAAGGCTGCCAAAGGTGGCTCTGAACTGGTAGAATCAGGAGCTAGACACAGGTTCTCCTCAAGGAAGCACTGGGATCTGGCGTGCTTAGGGTGGGCAGCTCTGAGCAGACCTGAAACCTATCCAGTTCAGCCCCCAGGTCTGCAGACCTGAGCTGACCCAACCGCTGATGTGCCCACAGATCCCTCAAGCCCTCGGGACTCTGCCCACTGCCATCTTCCTGACTCCAGTCCTGGGTACAACTTCTGGCTACAGCGATGGCCTTGAGCCAAACAAAATAGGGCTCCCTTCCAATGGCCATCAGCAGGACGGCCTGCTGCCCCTCCCCCAGCCCCCTCTGATCACTGATTCTGTGGAAGGGTCCTGGGCTACACGGCTGTCTTGTCTTATTCTTGTGTCCAAGCAACCACAGTTCCCTGGGAACAGCACTGTCTTCCACCAGGATGAAGCCTGCGGGGTCCTGGTCACACATTCTAGCTGGCACTGTCCCATCTCCCCTTTAGTGTCCCTTCTGATCAGGGCGTGGCTACAGAGTACAGCCCCCCAAGCTCCCCTGGGGTGTCTATCTGTGTCGGTACTGCTGGCTTCTCAGTTCCAATTTGCCCGAATACAGATGGTGTGGTCTGCTGGGGCGTGACCTGGGTGCCAGGGCCAGTCTACACCTCCTGTCCTCAACCCAAGTCTGGCCCCAGGATCCAGGGCCCACCGGGGAAAAGCAGGCGTGTCTGTGCAGGCTGCGTGAATCCTGAGGTGCTGTGCTGCCCGGTGCCGGACGCCACGTCCCAGCGTGTCCACGCCTGCCCGCCCCTGGTGTCCAGCCCCACGGCCCTCCCTGACCGCCCGTCTCCTACCTCCCAGGGCTTGTTTCATTACAAACTCCATGACGATGGCTTGATCCCTCAGAGGTCACTCCAGGCTCAGCTCGCATTCGAGGGTGGCCAGGGTCCTCGGCCTGGGGAGAGTAAGCGTCACACGTGCCCTGGCCAGCCTTCCTGCCCTCCCGGCTGCGGGGGCCAGGCGCCTGGGGGAAGGTGCACCTGGAACCCACGCCTGTCCCCAGGCTCAGACGCCCGGTGGTCCGGGGTTTCCAGGGCCTGCTTGGGCAGGAGCCGGGGCGGGCCGGGGCGTTTGAAGGTCACCGCGGCTTGGCAGTCAGGTTCCCCGGTCTGGGCGCGGGTTTGCGGCAGCCCGTCCCAGAGCGCGGGGCCGTCCTGCCCGCCAGAAGGCGGCGAGGG